GCATGAAGGTGGTAAGGAGGAACTAAGGGGGGCGAGGCTGGGCAATGTGACTTCGATTGCTCTGTTGAGGGCGGGGCTCAATGGCGAACCTTTGGCTGCTCTGGTGGGGGGTTTATAGGGAACAAAAAGGGATTGGGCCGGGGGGTAGATCTGAGCCCAGCATTGACCCGCTCCATCATGTCCTCAGTGAATTTCAGGTGTGGCGAGGAGGGAGAAAGGGAGGGGGAGGAGGGTGATGGCCTGTCAGGGGTTTGGGGGACTGGGGAAGATCGTGGTCCCTGGTCCTGGTCGTTGGTGTTGTTGAGAGAGTTGGAGGCAAATAGGGACCCCTCTTCTTGCCTCAGATGTCTCTCCTTTCTGAGGCTCTTCCTCAGATGCCTCAGATGTCTCTCCTTTCTGAGGCTCTTCCCAGGTGGGGGCAGATGAGGCTCCTCCTCAAGGTTTCTGCTGGGCTTTGTCTGTTCTTGGAGTACTGTTTGTTCCTCTTTATGAGATAACTCCTCGTTTATCTCAGCCTTGGCACCAAGCACAGATGGATGACGTATGGAATAAAACAAGTTGGAGGTGAACAGTTTCACCCCTGACTTGTTAAAATTAAATCCATTTGCTTTAAACAGATGCCTGTTGTTGATAAAATGCACTGAGTGGTCAGTACATAATAGTAATGGATTGCATTTATATAGCGCTTTTCAAGGCACCCAAAGCGCTTTACAATTCCACTATTCATTCTTACATTGGTGGAGGCAAGCTACAGTTGTTATAACAACGACCAGGACAGAGAGCCCGGGGATCGAACCGGCGACCTTCTGGTTACAGATATGCTTCCCAACCCCCTGAGCCACGGTCGCCCGTACATGCTGATATAAGCCATTTATTCAGTGCAAACAACCTGCTGAATCTCTCGTCTCCTCCTCTGACCGGCGGTACAGGTCCACTGATGAATACAGCTGCATTCAGAGAGTTTACAGTATTTAATAATCCAGTAAAGTCCCGTTTCAGAACCTCCGACTGTTGTTTGGACACATCGTTTGACCCTGTATGCAGAACAATGTTTGTCACAGTTGGATATTCATCTGCAATTTGAAGAATTCTCTCCTTCAGGTTGTTGACCATATCCTTAGGGAAGCAGAGGACTTTAGTGTTCTTACCGCACATCCTTTGTACATCCTTTACGGCAGAGTCACCCACAATCAGCGTTTCAGGCCTAGCCTTTAGCTTTCCCCGTGGATTTTCAGGCCTTACTTCGCTACTTTTAGATGGATGGTTGTCCGATATGGATCCAGGGTCCTTTGATAGTGGAGCAAATCTGTTGTGCAGTTTCACATTCAGTTGTTTTGGAGGTTTGCTGTTAACCTTCCTATTCACGGTTGTCCAGTCCTGTTTCCTCCCGTATACAGGGGTAGAAGAGCTTCTGTCTCGTAGGAAGTGAAGGCCAGTCGGTTTCAGAGATTTCAGCTCGCTGTGCCCTGCCTGTGATACGTCCTCCCCCTTCCAGGAGACATGATTTATGTCTTGGTTTTGCACCAAGACAGTCCAAGGGGGGATTATCGCTTGAGGATTTATAATAATGCACAGAGTCTACTTTCTTGGTCATGTTATCTGTGCTCCTTAGCTGTGTACTAGCTTGCTCATCGCCATTGTTTTGAATCAAAGGCAAGGTTGTTTCATTTCCACACAGTCCATTTACCTCCACGTTTACTTCTAAGCGATGAATTTTTGTCTCCAGTACTGCAATCTTCTGCAGGAGGCTGTGGTAGTCATCTGTGGAGAGGGAAGGCATCTTGTTGATAGTTAGCCTAGCGGTTAGCACCTTTCCAGGTTATTGAGGCTGCTCGGTGCCCAGATGCTGTAATCAGGCTTCAGCTGTGTCTAGGCCACAGACACACGGAGCACTGAGGACAAGGTAACCATAAAATGTTGCTGTTTCTGTTAAAAACGCTTTAGTCCTAATGATCTATAAGTGTCCAGAAGCTATCGCAGGTAAGCTCATACGGGAAAAAAGGGAATAAATCAGCATAAAAATCAATAAAAGAAGCAAAGCATTTAAAGAGCAAAGAGAGGAAGCGTCCACACTCACAAAAGTGAGTCAAGTTTGGTGGAAGTGTGAACAGATAAAAGATGACCAGTGTGCAAAATCACTCCGTTTTTTTAAGCCACAGACTGAAATGGTGTTGTTTGTTTCTCAGCTGTATAACATGCTGGTGGAGACGGGCGAGTTGGAAAACACCTACATCATCTACACGTCAGATCACGGCTACCACATCGGCCAGTTCGGCCTCGTTAAAGGTACGAACAGAGAATAAGGTTCTTGTGTCTGCCTGATTCTTTTTCTGCCGATGGAAGAAAGAATTTGTGATTATTTTTATAACTGATTAAACTTGATTATCATCTGGAAACATCCTGATTTGTGATTTAAAGGATTAGATTTTTTTTAGTAGGAAAACAGCTGCAGTGCAGGGAGGAACACTGTGAGATGTGTGCCAGACTCATTTTAAGAACCCTTCTCCAGCAGATGAAACAGCATTATGTACAAAATAAACAGCGAAACAGCACAAATTCTAAGAGTCTGGAAATTGGACAATCGCTCTTTGTGAGTACGGACTGAACAGCAAACAGAATTTCAGATGCACGTAAAGAACATCTGAAGAATCCAAGATAATAAAATGTTTGAGTTTAAAGGAACAAATGTTTTGTGTTTGATCATCAGAAAACTGTGCTGAGCATGAAGATAACGTCAGAACGTGACAGCAAAACACATCTGTGTGTGCGAGCTTCAGTGTCACCACCTCAGCTACAAACGACAGCATTAATACCGTGTGTGTGTGTGTGTGTGTGTGTGTGTGTGTGTCTCCAGGTAAATCTATGCCGTACGAGTTTGACATCAGAGTCCCGTTCTACATCAGAGGACCTAACGTGGAGCAGGGCAGCATGTAAGCACACACACCTCAACAACAATTCACTGCACAAAGGCGCCGCCGATCCTCTGAACTCAGTAATAACTTTAAACGTTACTTTGTTCAGTCCATAAAAAAAACACGGACAGCTGTGGCCGCCTGCTCATGACCACAGCAATCGCAAGAAGGGTTTTAGTGCACCCCCCTCTATTTTCACAGACTCCACCTCCCACATGCTAGCTGGTTAGGAAAGTCACATTTTCCCCATGCAACCTGCATGTCAGGGGCTCACTGAGGCCCGAGGTCACCTTCACATGCACCTGTGGACCCTTCCTGACCACCTGCATGTGCACATTTACAAGCAAACATCAGCTTTTTTGTCAGACTGATATTCAGGTAGAAATCTGGTGATGAGAGCTGGCTCTCCATCCACACACCAAACAGTCATTTTCAGGTAATGAATCATTACCAGCCACTCAAACTGTGGCACACGCCATCATGTCCCAGCACACGGACTTGTATGATCCAATTCTAGCAATTTGTTTTTAAAGAGCATCTCGTCAAATAATACATATATTGATGGTCCTGCGGGTCTCTGTTGTTGGCAGTTGATTAAAAAAGGCACTTTGCAGGGTATTTTTAGGCCAAGCAGTTAATTAATTTACTGAATAAATAATAATGCAATCAGTAATTAAAATGCATGTTTTTTGCAGCCCAATTAAATGTACAGAAAAGAAAAATAAGCCTTAACCAACAAGGCTCAGCTATCAGCAACGTCTCTGCTTCATTGGAGTCGTTCCTTTTTTAAATTCCTGTTCCTGTTTCGAGAAGCAAACAAACCCTCAGTGCTCAGCACCACATGGTGGATGCAAGGGAAGAGAAGCTGATGGAGCATGTACAAAAACCTGCTGGTTTTGGTCTCCACCACGAGCGTACAGGCTGCTTTAAAAAATCTCAGAACCAAAAATATGAAGAATCTGTGGAGACGTGAAGCAGCAGAAAGATCGTATCCATGAAAAATGTGACAGCACTGTTTTCTTCAGAGTGTGCTACTGTGTGCGTTTGTGTGTGTCAAATTGAATTACCACAGTCAGAGCGGTTCCACGAGATGATCACGGGTTCAGGGCAAGAGTTTCTTTCCCTTCTTTGGAGCAGACGTTATTGAGATAAAAAACACTTTGTTTGCAATACTTCACAATAAATGTCCCCGTGAACTTTCCCCCCGCTCTCCAAACCCAACAGAAGTCTGTAGAAGCTCTCGGGTCTGTTTTGCCTTCAGCAATTCACTTTTAAAATATCAGTACAAAGCAAGATGGGACGAGTAATTTGTCCTTTTTTAACATTTTCCATTATGTGTATTTTTTTAAATCTTCTGGTGTTCTGCTGTGGCAGCAAACACCGTTTTCATGGTGGAAGATTTCACTAAAAAGGTTTTGAGGTATAACAAAAAACAAATTTTTGCCCCTTATCTCCTGTGTCTTTCAGGAAGCGTTGTTACCTACAGTTTGTAAAAGAGGCGTGGCATAGGAGGAGGAGGGCTCGTCAAATAAATGAGCCCTTTGTAGTAATTTAAGAAGATCTGACTTTGTGTGTGTGTGTGTGTACATGTTTAGATATCTTTGTGAGGACAGAAAAATTGGCATGCTTGTGGGGACCAATAGTCACTTATGAGGACACAATGCCCGTCCCCATGAATTTGAAGACATTTTGAGGATGAAAATGTGGTTTTAGTGTCAGAGTTACATTTAGGCTGTGTTTGGGTTTAAGCTGAAGGTTAGGCACTGATTTTAGATGGTTAGCTTAAGCAGCTAGCATTATGTCAATGAGATGTCCTCACTAAGATAGCAAAACGAAAGTGTGTGTGTGTGTGTGTGTGTGTGTGTGTGTGTGTGTGTGTGTGTGTGTGTGTGTGTGTGTGTGTGCACAGCTGCAATAAAGCCACATGTCACATTTAATGAATGTCACATGAAAATTGAAGCCCTGTTTTGGTAAAAAGGAGACATTTATTAAAGTCTTATTAACAGTTTCTTTTTCGGATTTCGTTATGACAGCATGAAGCTAAAACAGGCACACACATATATAATAAAATAAGCGCTCATACTCTGTTTGCATGTTTGTGTCAGTAACCCTCACATGGTCCTAAACATCGATCTGGCTCCGACCATCCTGGACATCGCTGGCGTCGACACGCCTCCAGATATGGACGGAAAGTCGATAATGAGTCTGCTGGACACAGACAAACCTGCCAACAGGTACACACACACACACACACACACACAC